TGCTATAATACACACTGACCACCAGGGGGCAGACACTCAATGCAGGAGCTGCCCCCTGGTGGTCAGTGCACTCCCACAGGGGGAGCGCCGCTCAGCCAGAAGCAGGGCTCACGGCTGGCAAGTGCCACGATGATGGTGGGAGCCTCTCCCGCATCCGCGGCAACGCTAAGGAGCAGCGAGCCATGTGATAAGGAGCAGTGAGCAGGTGGGTGGTAAGGAGCGAGGGGTCCTGGACTGTGAGAGGGATGTGTGACTGCCAGCTTAGGCGCGATCCCCAGGGAGTAGAAAGAAATTAATACCTGGGTGCATTAGAGGGAAACTACAAAAAAACAAACAAAGGCAAAGAACATCTTAAAAGTAGTCAGAAGAAAACCAGCAGGTGGACATCCCCCAAGGGGTCCTGGACTGCGAGAGGTCATAGGCTGGGCTGAGGGAACCCTCCCGCCTGGTGCACAAATTTCGTGCACTGGGCCTCTAGTGTAAAATAATATTGAATGTCAATTGTAATTAAAAACTTTTTTGAAAAAGATTTAAATGATCAAACAGAAAGGAAGACTTGGATTGGGCCTCAGGTGTAGAAAGAGAGGACCTTGCTGCTTACTAGCTTCATAGTCTTACATAAGTAACTTAATATCATGTGTCAGTTTCCTCATTCATACCTAACAACAGGGCCAAAACCATCAGTGAACTTGAGGCTCCATGGGAAATTAGAGTGGACTTGAATAGACTACTCTGAAACCTTGGTTCCTCTCATTCTGCCCTTTCCTTTCAGCAATCTAACTGATGACAGTACTACAGAGTCAGTTACTGCTGCCAGCAGCATAAGACTATCACCTAGAACAGTGATGGTGAACCTATGACACGCGTGTCAGAGGTGACACGCGAACTCATTTTTTTGGTTGATCTTTCTTTGTTAAATGGCATTTAAATATATAAAATAAATATCAAAAATATAAGTCTTTGTTTTACTATGGTTGCAAATATCAAAAAATTTCTATATGTGACATGGCACCAGAGTTAAGTTAGGGTTTTTCAAAATGCTGACACACCGAGCTCAAAAGGTTCACCATCACTGACCTAGAAACACTGTAGCCATCATAACACCATATGCAGTGCAATGCATTACTCACATATTTGTGATGATACTGACATAAACAAACCTACTATGCTGCCGGTCCTATGAAAGTACAGCACATATAATTATGTATAGTACGTAATACTTGATAATGATAATAACCAACTATGTTGGTTACATAATGGTTTACGTATTTACTATACTATATTTTTTTATCATTTACTATACTATATTTTTTATCATTATTCTAGAATGTACTCTTTCTACTTACTAAAATAAGTTTGCTATAAAACAGTATGCCAGGTTACACTGGCAACAGACTTATATATACTAGAGGCCCAGTGCACGAATTTGTGCACCTTGAAAGGAACTGTGGGCTGCAAGGCTGTGGTGGGCACAGGGGCGGGTCTTGGCTCATCCTCCACGCCCCCTCCCAGCTCCTTCTGCCGCGGACCCCGGTCCCCTTTCTGCCGGCAGCCCCACTCCCGCCGCCACTGCTCCCACACGCTGATGGCAATGGCCCCACTCGCACCTGCTAATGGCGCAGAGCAATTGGGGCCAGTGCCAGCAGTGGGTGCGAGCAGGCCCAGCATCATCAGTGGGTGTGAGCGGCGGCTGCTGCCCCGATCACCTCTAAGGAGTAGGGGGAGGTGGAGAAGCCCTCAGGGGCAATTGTGACTGGCAGCCATCGCTCACACCTGCTGATGGTGTTGAGCGATCAGGACTGGTGCCGGGCACCGGCAGTGGGTACAAACGGCAGCTCCGGTGCCAGCTTTGGGTGCAAGCTGGGCCAGTGCCAGCAGCGGGTGCGAGCAGCGGCTCTGTCGCCAGCAGCACGTGTGAGAAGCAGCTGCAGGCCTCAATCGCCCCTCAGGAGCAAGGGGAGTTGGAGAAGCCCTGAGGGGCAATCGAGGCTGGCAGCCGCCACTCACACCCACTGACAGTGCTGAGCAATCAGGGACAGCACTGGGTGTGAGCGGCAGCTCCGGTGCAGGCAGCAGGTGCGAGCAGGGCTGGCGCCAGCAGCAGCACTGGGCAGGACCACGGCACACGGGAGCAAAGAATTTTTAGTAACCACCAGAGGCTCACCCTGAAGACAGCGACTGGTGCCCCGCCTTGGTCTGGCACCCCTGCTCACCTGCTCCACCATCCCACCGCGGCCCATACCCGCCACGTTCTGTGCTCTGCCACCTGCTGCCAATGCCTGCCATGTTCCCTGTGCGCACCCTGGTGGTTAACGCACCACGTCATAGTGACCAGTTGTTCGGTTGTTCAATTGTTCCACCATTCGGTCTACTTGCATATTAGGGTTTTATATATATAGATAATTTTTGCCATGTCTTTGATTGCATCATTTTGTCTTGTTTGATTTAATCTCATGTTGTTTCATAAGTTCAGTGTAGCCTAAGTGTACAGTGCGTATAAAGCCTACAGTAGTGTTTAGTAATGTCCTAGGTCTTCACATTCACTCACATTTACTTACTGACTCACCCAGAGCAACTTCCTGTCTTGCAAGTTCCATTCATGGTAAATACCCTATACAGGTGTAACATTTTTAATCTTTTATACCATATTTTTACTGTACCTTTTCTATGTTTAGATATATAAATACTTACCATTGTGTTATAATTGCCTACAGTATTCAATTCTATACTGTAACATGCTGTACAGGTTTGTAGCCTGGGAGCAATAGGCTATGCCATGTAGCTTAGTTGTGTAGCAGGCTATACTGTCTAAGTTTGTGTAGGTGCACGCTATGATGTTTGCACAATGACAAAATCGCCTAACTACACTTTTCTCAGAATGCATCCCCATAGTAAAGTGGTGCATGATTATATCTTCTCAGGTAGGTATAGAGGAGGTCTGTCATAGTCACTGTATATCTACTGACCAAATTACTTTGCTCATTTGGCAGTAATTGCTATATCCTTCATAGTTAATACTAAATTATAAATAAACTAGATGCCTGGTGCACGAATTCGTGCACGGGTGAGGTCCGGCCAGCCCGCCCTGATTGGGGTCAATTGGGCCGGGCCAGCCTGGGGGAGGGGCCACGGGTGGTTGGCGGGCTGGCCCCGCCCCCTGGTTGAACTCCTGGTTGAACTCCCAATGGAACTCCCAATCGACGGGACAATTTGCATATTAGCCTTATATAGGATGAGTAGATAAAAGGAATTATTTATAAAAATTCAAAACTATGAAAATACAGCTAATAGACTTCAAAGTGTCCATGCTCAAAACTATGGTATGATTTGATTTAATAAGTTCTTCAAAAGTACTCTTTCTCAACAGAGAAATATTTATTATACATACCTTGTGAATGGTTGACAGGGAGGGCTCATTAAAATCATATTGAAAGATAATCTATCAAACTCTTCTAATGAAATGCCCTAAGGAAAGAACAATTGGGGGAATGTAAAAAAAAAAAAAAGTATAGAACAGGAAATGAGAAAAATGCTAATTATAACTAAATATATCAAAAATTATACCAGTTAATAGTTTTATTTACAATACTTAAAAGTTTATATAACACAATACTTTTCAAATCAACCTCAGTTAGACTAATTTTCCAAAGGAATCTTGTGATGGAACCAAAGTTATAAAAAAGTAAGTGTCTGCCCCCAAGTCCCATAGCCAGCCAAAGCAGAGCTGTCACACTCCTTTCCTGGACCCACAGCACCTCAAGTTTAACACTGTTGTATTTTCCAGAGTCAAACATGGAGAATTATATAACTAATGATTTTCAGCCTAGGGTCTAAGAAATTTTTAAACACCTCTCTAACAATATTTTTCAATTTAGGAAATGTGATGTACTGACCAGTAGCCATCCCTTTCATGTATACCTCTGTTAATATACCACCAAATGGAAAAAGGTCCCATTTTTCAATTATGCACACTATTTATTGTTTTATACTTATATGTAAGCAAAGAACTTCAAAAGGTTGTAGATAAGATTAACCGAAATAATCACTACCAGACTAAGTAGTTGGAAAATGTGTTATTTTGCTCCTGTTTTATATAGCAGAAGATAAATATAGAGAAGCATAAATCCATGGGTTTGCCACGCATGAAGCCCTCTTAGTGTGCACTCTTAACCAGAAACTTAAAGCGACAAGCCTAGAAACACAACATTCCTAATTATGACACATTTCTAAGAAGTTTAAGTATATACTAGTAAATAAAGCAGGAAAAAACTTTATTCTGAGTTCTGTAAAGACTGAATTAACCCAGGGAATACGTATTATTAGTTGTCTCTATTGTATTAAAAGTTTAAATGTACGTGTACATCATTTTTAAATCTCAGGCTTTAAAGTAGTTCAGGATATATATGTAAAATGAAATTGAAATTAAATACGAATGCTGAAGAAAATCTGAAAATCATGCAATGACCAGTCTGTCAGAAAACACCAGGTAAGGCAATACAAGTAGACAGCACGTCACATTCAAGATAATGGCGCCAGCACAAGGCCATGTGATAAGCAACTTACAGATTTCACAACTGAAATGTGGATTGATTCAAACTAAATTCTTAAAACTGAAGTAAAAATAAAACAATAGCCCTGGCTGGTTTGGCTCAGTGGATAGAACGTTGGTCTGTGGACTGAAGGGTCCCAGGTTTGATTCCGGTCAAGAGCACATGCCTGGGTTGTGGGCTCGACTCCCAGTTCGGGGCGTGCAGGAGGCAGCCGATCAATGATTCTCTCTCATCATTGATATTTCTCTCTTTCTCTCCCTTCCTCCCAGACTGTGAGAGGGCACAGGCCAGGCTGAGGGACTCCCCCCTCCGAGTGCACAAATTTTTGTGCACCAGGCCTCTAGTATATATATATTTAGTGGCCAGATTATTATGACCACCTGACGTTTGTAGGCAAATTAGCTATAATTTTGCGCTGAAGTTGCTAGAGGGCCAGACCATTATAAACGTCTGAATAGCACAACATACCTAAGTATTGTTGCTGATCAAGTTCATCCTATCATGTTGATGGCGTATCCCAATGGAGATGGCTTCTTCCAACAAGACAATGCGCCATGCCACGGTGCTCGTATTGTGCAGGAGTGGTTTCAAGAACATGAGGGAGACTTTACCTTGCTTAGGTGGCCCCCACAATCACCAGATCTCAATCCAATTGAGCATTTGTGGGACGAAGTTAAAAGAGCCATCAGGCAGCTGGTTCCACAACCATCAAATCTCACAGAACTGGACAGTGCTATTCATCAGGCATGGTGTCAGATTCCTTGCATAATCTTTCAACATCTCATGGAGTCAATGCCAAGAAGAATCACCGCAGTATTGAAGGCAAAAGGTGGCCCAACGAAGTATTGATGAGGTGGTCATAATAATCTGGCTGATCATAATAATCTGGCCACTAAGTGTGTGTGTATAGATATCTATACACATACACACACACACACACACACACACACATAAAATCATAGGTAAGTGAAGATAGTAAGCGGCCTTCGCCTGACACAAGGACAGTGCTTAGTAACCGCCAGCTTTTAGTGCTGTGACTTGTGCACTGGTGGGGGGCGGCCTGCGGGGATCAGCCTGCTGTAGGAGTGCCGTGCACTGACCTCCAGGAGGCAGCTCCTGCATTGAGCGTCTGGTTGAATGGTCGTTCTGGTCATTCCACTGTTTGGTTGCTGGGCTTTATTACATAGGCCTAGAGGCCCGTTGCATGAAGAGATTCGTGCAATAGGCTTTCCCTTCCCCTGGCTGCCAGCACCGGTTTTCCGCTGGCACCCGGGACCCAGGCCTTCACTCCAGCCGCTCGCTCCAGCTGCAGCGGAGAAGCCAAGCCTCTTCAGCCATCAGTCTTCACTCTGCCGGAGCAGGCAGTCTTCGCTCCATGCCTACCTATGCAAATTAATCGCAATCTTTGTTGGGTTAATTTGCATACTCATCTGATTGGCTGGTGGGCATAGCGGAGTGACACCAATTTGCATGTTTCTCTTTTATTAGTGTAGATAACTTATCATTGAATTAAGATAACAGTATCTTGCAGTGTTTTTCAGTCACATTCTCCTTGCTATATGCTTATTAAAATAATAATAATAGCTACTCACTTCAATTGTCTTGGCTAGTAACTGTGTTTGAGGAAAATTATACTTGTATACTTCATTAGCAACATCGTTTACATCAATGGCAGCCACCACATGTGCAGGTATACTGCTTTCTGTAATGAGAAATGGAATATCTTAAAATGTAAAGTCCTTAACATCGATTTTTTCATTATAGAGAAGTCAAAATAATGAATTTTGTAGTACATTTCCTCAATTCTTCAATTATCTAGTTCAGTGATTTTCAACCACTGTGCCACAAAAACTTTTAAAACATGCAATACCTGGCTATTTAGTCAGGGGCACTGATTCTTTTTCCTTAGATTGTCAAATTAAAAAATGACAACAGTTAACACAATAGCTGTCCAGTGTGAATGAATCAAAATTATACCTATTTTTTTTGGCAGATCGGCAAAAAATATATTTTTTGATGTGCTGCAGAATTTTAGTAATTAGTTTATGTGTGCCATGAGATGAAAAAGGTTGAAAATCGCTGATCTAGTTGAATTTCAGATTATCAACTGACGACCAGCCCAGGTATGAAGTGGAATATTTAGTACCTCTGGTTCATCTAACAGCATTCCAAAGCTAAAAATAAGATTTACATGTTTTAGTCATTATCTCTTATATTTGCTTCCCACCCTCCATTAAGATATATATTTATGAGTTAAATAGAAGGTTTTCCTAAGTTAAACCAAAAATAGGAAACAGAAATATATTCTTAAAAGCCATATCACTTGGAACCTTAGATAAATACCTATTATTTGTTCCTTACCTTCTAACATCAATACAAAGCTGCTCCCAATACCACTGATAATGCTTTTCAGTAAGTTTTTTTAAAGTAATAGGCTGATTGAGATATAACTCACATGACACAAAATTAACTCATTTAAGATTTAGGTAAGCTTTTAAATGAGATGAACAATTAATTGGCATCCAAATGTAAAAAGTTCACAGATCAAATATTAAAAATCTGAACAGAACGGGAGAGAATATAAGAAGAGTAAGGAAAATAATTACAAGGGCAAACCTTCAACTAACTGTCTTGCTGCTAAAGAAAAGCATGTTGAAAATGCTTTCAGAGTCAGAAAATTCCGCCATAGTCTTTAAATGGCAATCAAAATTTGAACTACTAGTATGTAAGAGTAGCTGCTGTTATATTTTGCAATTACCATCTTCTTTGCCCTTCTTCCCCAAAACACACTATGTGTTTACCCTGTTCCAAGTCAAGGGAAAAATTGAAGAGTTTTAAAAATAAAAGTATTTCAGATCTCTTAGGAAAACCATCAGAGAAAATATTACAAAAGTACATAGTAGCTTCCAATAGCTATTTCTTTAATACTCATTTGGAGTTACGAGCTTAGATAACCCAAGTATCAAAAAAAAAAAAATAGGATGTGAGGAGCTAGGGTTCATGAAGTAGGCATCTATAATAAAAGCGTAATATGTTAATTAGACTGGACGACCTTCCAGATGAAGCCAGGGCTGCGAAGGAAGCCCGGGTCCCAGGTGCCAGAGGGAAGCCAGTGCCGGCAGCCAGGGGAAGGAAAGCCTACTCTTGCACGAATTTCGTCTAGACATAAAACACAAGATGGGGCAACAGAAAAGGCTCACACATTTAGAAATCACAACCATACACTGAGGCCTAGAGGAGATGATGCCAGAGAGAAAAAAAGGGCATGTATGTCTCTTAAGTAAATATATACTCCCTCTGTCCCATAATAATAGTAGCAGTTGATGAATGTAATTTGTCCCATAATAATAGTAGCAAAAGAAAATAAATATAGAACGCAACATTTATTATCAAAAAACTAGATTAAATTAAACAGTATTTTGAGAATAGTACTCCTAA